CCGCCGCCGCATCCGAGCGCGGACGCGCTGGCCGAGCTGCGCTGCACCATCAAGTGCTGCGGCAGCGCCATCAGCGGGGCGCGCTGCCCGTTCGTGATGCTGAGGTGGCGGCCGGGCGCAAAGGGCAGGAACCCCGCGCCGCCGGCACCACCGGCACCCGCCAACGCCAAGTGGAGTGAGAGGTCGGGGGCGCTGCACTGGTGAAGGGTCTCGTAGTCCAGCGCGGGCGCGGTGCGGGAGGGCGTGTACGAGCGGCGGAAGCGGCGGCTGCTGCCGGCAGAGGACGCCTGCGGGCGGAGGGCGGGGGTGCGATCTTTAGGTGGCGAGCGCATGAGGGTCGTTTTGGTGCCGCGGGGGTGTTTGGCGGCCGGCTGTACAATTGAATCATGTTGCATCAAGGCGTTTGGGTACGGCCGCTCCGCAGGAACAGAGGAGCCCAGCGCACCGCGGCAGAGAGTCCAGGACTCTCCAGCTCTGCTGATGTCGCCCGCCGCGCCTTCAAGGGCCCGAGGCTCCCCGCGCTCGACCCGCTGCCCGGCCGCTGCCCCAGCACGCCGCCGCCGCCGACGATCGCGGCCGCCGGCGGCGGCGACGCGCCGCGCGAGTGCTGCTGCGCCTGCAGCGTCGCGGCCGCCGCTGCGGACAGGCGGCCGATGAGCTTCGAGACGCGCCTTAGTGTCACGCGCGGCGGCGTGCGGGCGCCGTCGCCGCCGGCGGACGGCACGGGGCTGTCCCTGCCACTCTGCACGCCCTCGGCCCAGCCGCCGGCGCCGGGGCCGGCGCCGTCGCCGCTGCTCCACCCGCGCGCGAACACCGCAAAGGGCGCCGGAGCCTTGGCGCCCGCCTTTGGGCTGACGCCGCCGCCGCAGCCGGCGGCAAAGCCAGGGGAGAATGCAACCCCGACCAGCTCAGTATCCACCGCCGGACTCTCAAACTTTCCGGCCGCCGCAGCAGCCGCGGGCGTCGCCGCAACACTGCAGGACCTGGGGGCCGTCCCAGGCGCCGCCAGGTCAGCGTCCGGCTCCTCGTCTTCCTCCTCCTCTTCGTCCTCCTCGTCCACCTCGTCTTCGGAGTCGCTCAGCCGGTCCGCAAAGTCCGCGGCGGCGGCCGCCGAGCCAAACGCGGCCGCGCTCACGCCGCTCACGGCCCGCGCCATCCTTGGGGACCCACAGGCGCCGCCGGCGCCGGCGGCGGCGCCGGGCGGCGGAGTAGGGGGCGTCGCGGCGCCGCCTCGGATGATCTCGCACGTGCCGCTAAGGATGAGGAACAGGCCCTCCGGAACGTTGCCCTCCCTGTGGGTCATGGAGTGTACACCAAGAGACGCCAGAACGGCCAGTGGGCAGAGAGCAGAGGGGGGGCAGCTCGGCCCCTTCTGAGCATAAATATTCCACTGCTGCCTGCCAACAGTATGGAGTGGTGGTAATGGAGCAAGGCGGCCTGCAGTCGATTGCATCCAACCGCCCACGCACCCAAAACTCCGACCAGCCGCCTGCCCGGGCCGCCGGCCGCCGCCTCACCGTATCAGCACGTGGCCCCTCTTGAAAAGGCGCTCCTCCACCGAAGGCACCGCCGCCTTCACCTGGTGCACCCACGCGGTCAGCGCCCCCGCCTGCTCCGCGCCCGACGGCGCGCCCCGCGCGCCGGTGGGGGCCGCGGCGGCAGCGGCAGCTGCTGCGCCCCCGCCGCCGGCGGCGGCGTCTCCAGCGCCCGTCGCGCCGCCGCCGGCGCACAGCTTCAGCGGCGGGAGGCGGCCGGAGTTGGAGACCCATTCGTGCGCGGCAACCTGGCGTTGTTGGAGAGCATTGAACGTGTACTCATCTCGTCCCTGGTGCCTGTGATGTTGCAGCGTGCACGCGCACACACACACACACACACACATACACATACACAAGTACGCATGTCCACGCGAATACACACACACACACGCAAAGAAAAATTCATGGCGTGACAATTTGCGCAGGTGCGACGCCCACGCGATCGCACCTGCGCCAGGCTCAGCCGCTTCTCCGGGTCCTTTTCCAACAGCCCCTCCAGCAGCGACCGCAGCGCCGCGCTTGGCGGCGCCCCTGGCGCGCCCGGGCCGCCGGGCGCGGGCCAGGCCAGCGGCGCTGTGCGTATCAGGTCGTAGAGCCGCAGGACGCTGTCGGCGCCATAGGGCGCTGCGCGCCGCGCGCGAGGCGGGGCGGGCACCTTAGGGCAGTTGGGTAGTTGGTTAAGGTGTCCGGCCCAAGGCGAGGCCAGAATTTTATCAAAGATTCAACCCCTGGTTACAGGGCACATGTTCCCTTGCACGCGCCCCAACCTCAGCAGAGCGCGGGCAGTGTCTATGCACTTGCATCCCATAGGCGGGGGCAGCCGAGCGGACGCGATCCGCCGGGCACCCACCGCAGCCAAAGACAAACATGTACAGCGTCACCCCCAGCGCCCAGCACTCCGCCGCCACCGGCCTCCACGCGCCCCCGCGCGGGTCGCAGCACTCGGGCGCGGCAAACGCGGGCGTCCCCAGGAACGCGGACGTCGTCGCGGCCGCGGCGGGCTCGGGCAGCAGGCAGCTGGACCCAAAGTCGGAGATCTTTGCGTGCCCGTCTGCGCCTATGAGGAGGTTGTCGGGCTTGAGGTCTCCGTGGACGACGCCGTTTGAGTGAAGGTAGTCTAGGCCCAGCAGCACGTCCCTGATGGGGCGTTTGTGGGGTGGGAGCGTTTTGGGCCGGGCCAAGGGGGTTGGGGTCACACAGAAAGGGTCTTGAGG